GGTTCTCAGAGCAGTAAAGGAGGCTGTTGTGGACCTGGCGGGCGTTCCGCCGAGACTGCTCGATGATCCTCAGAACGTGTGGTAATCTAGGTGACCCAAGCCACCCAGTCCTGTATCAGTCTCCCCGTGCCGCACCCGCGCAGTACTAAACGCGACAGTGAACATGAGAGGAGCTGGAGGAGGAGGAGGAGGAGGAGGAGCAGGGGGAGGAGGAGTAGGAGGAGGAGGCAGAAGGATGGAGAGACGAGCGAGTCCAGTTCTTCATTCCCGGTGCCCGAGAGCTGAGAGCACGGCGGGCGCTGTTCCACCGGGCGGAGGTGCTCCCTGAACTTGACGCCGTCTGACTGGCCAGCGCCAGCCAACACCTACCACATCAAATCTCATATGTTCAAAGCTTCTCTCTAGAGCCTGCGGCCCGGCGGCCGTCGTCAGCTGCATGCGCCCCAAGAGAGGCCCCTGGTAACCTGCGAAAATTGCAACCGCCGAGGGCCGGGGAAAACCATTATTATAGAAAACCAAACACGTGTTTGATAAACAACCACAACTGGAAAAAACTGCCGCGCATGAAATTGCCTGGGACATTGCTCAAATCGCGCCATCGCACACGTGCAACGGCGCAGTTTTATAAACGCAAGAACGCGTTTACAAAACACGCAAGCACTGTTTAATCAAAAATAAAAAAGGCCTCATAAAAACAAATCGTAAAACAGGAAACGTCGCAACTCGCAATCGTCGCCGTGGTGGGCGAGCTGACAAAGTCCGCGAGCGTTCTGAAAACAATGTAAAAATCAGCCTGGTGGGTGGGGGGGAGGAGGAGGAGAGAAGGAGGAGGAGGAGGAGAGGAGGAGGAGGAGGAGGAGGAGGCGAGGAGGAGAGAGAAGAAGGAGGAGGAGGAGGAGGAGGAGGAGGAGGACGGGGGGCCTTGGCTGCCTCGAGGTAAGGAATGGGCGACCTGGGGTCGACGCGTCCCGCCCTGGGCTTCTCTCCTCCGGCGTCGGTGCCCGCGGGCAGCGGGGCAGCGCCGGGGAGGCAGCGTCGAGGGCCTGCCGTCGGGGCCTCTGGGCGTCGTCGAAGATCCACCAGGCCCGCCCAGACCCAGGAATGAGGTGCAGGGTGAGAGATGAACCCCTCTCCAAGGGGAAGGAGGTGGGGAGGAGGAGGAGGAGGAGGAGGAGGAGGAGGAGGAGGAGGGGAAGGAGGAGGTTAGATGAAAAAACGCTATACACATAAACTTCTTGCGCTCCGCGCGGATTTCTTGGATTCGCGCATGGGCCCCCCTCCCTGGCGCGCTCCGCGCGCCAGGGGCGGCGCCGGAGGCGCCGCTGGGGGGCCCAGGCGCGGATCCGAGAGATCCGCGCGGAGCGCCAAATATTTATGTTTATGGCGGTTTTGCTTTCTTCGAGGCAATGCCAAGGGCATCGAAACGGACAGTGTCAACACAAATATGAACACGCGAGACATCGCTCCTGTGGCTCATCTCACTCTTCTGCCACACTTGTGATCGAAGAGTGCCACACCGAGCACAGCAGGCAAAGAGCCGCGAAAACAACTAGACGTTCGCAACCGTACTTAGAAAGTACTTCACGATGATGTCCTCAGAAGGGGGTCCATCATGAACGTTGCTCTACATGACACAACGCCCAAACTAATTGGCACGCAACCTCATCGATTTGGCAGTGTATCATACCAACAGTGTGACGTACACCTTATGCCCAATCTGCCACACACACCTGAGCGACCTTGCTGTGCAACTTGCTATTCACATAACGACTGCTCAGAACTGCAAAAACATGTTGAATGTCCTGAATAAGATAAGCGAGTCAAATCGGTGCAAATTACATGTGCCCTGAACACCTCAACAGCCCTTGATAAAGCTATGCAGGCCAACCACAGAAAGCATGCAGTAAACCAAGGCGGTCTCGTACACGAAAGACTCCATTGGCACGTGGTGACTTGGATGCAAGCACGACGGCATACATGCACGCGTCTTCCCTTCAGAACTGGCAGAATCGCTGGACTGCGTCATCTCATATCCCGCCAGCCATTTTGGAAAAGAAAAAAACGCTATAAACATCAATGTTTGGCGTTCCGCGCAGATTTCATCGTTCTGCGCTGGACCCCCCTCCTTGGCGCGCGGAGCACGCCAGGGGCGGCGCCGGAGGCGCCGCTGGGGGGCCCAACGCGGATCCAAGAAGTCCGCGCGGAACGCCAAAGTTTATGTTTATGGCGTTTTTTCTTCTTCGACATTTGGGCATAGGTGCTTTGAGAAGTGAGCTAATCCAACCTCCTTCTTCCTCTCGGAGGGGGGTTCATCTCACACCCTACGCCTTCTCCCTGGGTCTGGACAGGCCTGGTCGCGGGCCGTGGGAGGGTCAGAGACGGTACAAGGTGGCTCCAAGATGGCCCCAGGGAGCCCGAGATGGCCTCCAGGATCACACAGTATGGCTCAAGATGGCTCAAAATATCTCCCAGCATATCTCCAGGAGGCCTCGAGAACGCCCAAACAAAGTCGGCTCCAGGTGGCCACGCAGCCTCCCAAGGACCTCTCCGAGAAGGCAAAATCTGGCCAAAGCCCAACCGTGTGTGATGTCTCTCGCCGTTTCGTTTCCCGGGGGGGGGGGAGGGGGGGCTTAACGTGCTGCCCCCCCTTCCTTGAGCGATGGCCTCCATGATGGCCCCAAGAGTGTCCCCTAAAGCCCCCCGGAGGCGCTCAAGAGAGCCCCAAGAGGGCCCCGAGATAGCTCCAAGAGAACCCACCCAGAGGCCTCCAAAATGGCCCCTAGTAAGCTGCCAAAGATCCGCGAAGGCATTCATGGTTGACTCCTGGGCCTGCTCAGGCTGATCCCGATCTTCGGCTTGACGACTGCCCTCCCCCCCACCCACCAACCACTTTGTTCCACTGCGCGCTTCCACGCGTCCCTGGCCAATGCAACTTACCTGGGCATCGCTGGCGGATAGGGTGATGGGATACACGAAACGTCAAGAGCCCGCCACCGTGCACAATGCACGTCGAGGCGCGGAAGCATGCCAAGGGCTGTCTGGCAGTGCTTCTTTACTGTAATAAGGGACACACATTCCCTGGGCCGCATCTCCCTGCATGCACCGCCCTCCCTCCCTCCCGAGGCCACGATCCTTCGTAAAAACCATGGGACCGATCCTTCGTTAAAAACCAAATGGGTCTGCGTCACGGGCTTCCAAGACGGCCCACGCCGGCAGCCACGGACACCAAGATGGCTCAAGGTGCCTCGAAGACGGCCCTGGATGGCCACAAGGCGGCCGAACACAGCGTCTAGACGGCCAAAATGCCCCAAAGGGGGTCCTAAAGGGCCATAAGAGGACATCCAACTGGGTCCGAAGAGGCAAACATTAGTGATTCAATTCAGGTGTTTGAATGGTGTTCGCATTCTCGCATTTTCGGATTTCCGTCAGCTCAAGACGTCCCAAGAAACCTCCACAGTGGCCCCGATACAGCCCAAGAGGCCCCGAAGATGGTCCCAAGATGGCCCCGGAGGACCCCACGGTGTCCCAAGAGGCATCCAAGACGGCCCAAGCGGGCCTCCCATGGGACCCAAGACGGCCTTAGAATGCCCTTCGACGACCCAAAGCGGCGCCAAGACGACCCCACCGACGGCCCCCGAACAGCCACCATACGGCAAAGAGGGCCCCAAGACGACCCCAGAGAGCCCGAAAACGACCCAAAGAGGGCCACAAAAGACCCGCAAGATTGCCTCGCAGGCTGCCAAGACAGCCCCAAGACGGCCCAAACAAGTTCCATGAGAGCTCCTCGGATAGGGAAGACGAATTGTGCCACATGTGAAGGCCTTCCTCTCCCTCCTCCTCCTCCTCCTCCTACTCCTTCTCCTCTTCCTCCATCATCCTCCTCCTCCTCCTCCTCCTCCTCCTCCTCCTCCTCCACATCATCCATCATCATCATCATCATCATCATCATCATCATCATCATCATCATCATCATCATCATCATCATCATCATCACCATCATCATCCATCATCATCATCATCATCATCGTCATCATCATCATCACCACCATCACCACCACCACCACCATCACCACCACCACCACCACCACCATCATCATCATCATCATCATCATCATCATCATCCTCATCATCATCATCATCATCATCAACATCATCATCATCATCATCATCATCATCATCATCATCATCATTAGCAGCAGCAGCAGCAGCATCATCATAAGCATCATCATCATCAGCAGCATCAGCCATCATCACCATCATCACCATCATCAGCATCATCGTCATCATCATCAGCAGCATCATCATCATAATCAGCAGCATCAGCATCAGCATCAGCATCAGCATCAGCAGCAGCAGCATCATCATCATCATCATCATCATCATCATCATCATCATCCTGCTTCTCTTCCTCCTCATCTTCATATTCCACCTCATGCTGTTCCTCCTTCTCCTCGTCATCGTCGTCGTCATGGTCATCATCATCAGCATCATCAGCATAATCATCATCATCAGCATCATCATCAGCAGCATCAAGATCAGCATCATCAGCATCATCATCAGCATCATCAGCATCATCATCATCATCATCATCATCATCAGCATCATCATACCCATCGTAATCCTCATCATCCACAGCACGGCTCTCCCGAGCCTGGAGGCACGAGGTGACACACGCGACGGCCTCCCGTGCCCCCTCGAACCGTCTCCGCCGGAAATGTGGCGGGACTTGCCGCAGGCAGCTGGATACAAAGGTGATACCAATCAGTATGCGCCATTATTCCTGAAACTATCCAACAAGCAACCACAAATTGAATCTCTGCCAGCGTTGACTCCAAATAGATACGAGGACAGGAGGAGAACGAGAGGAGGATGGGAGGAGGACGAAAGGAGGACGGGAGCAGGACGGGAGGAGAACGGGAGGAGCAAACTCAAGCAAGCGGAAGCAAGCAAGCGCAAGCGAGCAATAATAAGCAAGCAAGAACCAGCAATCAAGTGCAAGC